TTCAGTTGTAAGGTGCAGTTTATTGTGTATACTAGTGTTATGGAAAATTTGGAAGTGCCGTGTAAACGCCGAAAAATTGGTCCTTTAACAGTTAATGAAAAAACATTAATATTTAATTGTTTTAAATCATTTACAGACAAACGTTTATGTGAAAGTGTTGATGAGACCGTTGAGTTAGTTAGCAGTACACTTGGTGTTGGGAAACCTACGATTTACAGAGTTATTAAAGAAGAGAAATGTGGTAGTTTTCAAATGCCACGTAATGCTCCAGGGAAACCAAAATTTCAAATAGAATATCATTTTAAAGAAGGACTTCGACGGAAAGTGCATGAATTCTTCTTTAGACAAGAATTTCCAATATTGGATAAAGTTCTTGTCTCAGTTCGAGATGATAAGGATTACCCAAAATGAGTCGAAGTACGTTATGGAAACTTTTAAAAGAAATAGCCTTCCGCTGGAAAAATAATCCCAGAAAGTCTATTTTATAAAAACAAGCGATATTGTCATATGGAGAAGACATTTTCTAAGAACCATAAAGGAAATGAGAAACCAAAAAAGAAAAATATTTTATCTTGATGAAACATGGATCACGAGGGTCATACACCAAATAAATTTTGGCAGGATGAAACTGTTACAAGTCAAAGGCACCTTTTGTAAATAACTTATCTACTGGTTTAAATCCACCATCAGGAAAGGGACGCAGGCTGATAATAGTACACATTGGCAGTTCAGACGGTTTTGTTGATTTGGTTTATTAACTTTTGAATCAACTCGTACCGGTGACTACCATGAAGACATGAACGCTGGTGTCTTTCAAGAATGGTTCGAACAAATGATAGATCTTCTTCCTAAGAACTGTGTAATAGTAATGGATAATGCAAGTTATCACTTCAGACTTATAGAAGGACTGCCCACAACCAAGTGGTTAAAAAAAGACTTGCAGAATTGGCTGAGTTCAAAAAATATTACGTACCATCCCGGATCTATAAGAAAGGAACTTTATTCGTTGTGTGCCCTCATAAAGAAAAATTAAAAAAATACGAAATTGATGAAATTGCCAAAAATCGTGGAATGACAGTACTTAGATCCCCACCATATCATTGTGAATTAAACCCGATTGAACTGGTATGGGCACAGATAAAGAGTGAAATTTCAAGAAAAAATACCACTTTTAAAATTCATGATGTTAAACAGTTGTTTTTGGAGGCCGTAAATAATGTAAAACCTGAAAACTGGAAAAGGCAGTAAATCAAACTATTAGAGAAGAGGAAAAAATTTGGAAGCTGGACAATATTACTGATAAAATGATCGAGCCAGTTATTATAAATCTTGGTTCTGAAAGTTCATCTTCTGAATCTGAATTGGATTTGTAACAAGTAGCTGTAAGTTTTATATTAATATTTTTATTCACCTATTTAACATACCTTAGACAGTTTTAAAAACTCTTTTTCTCTTTTGTAATTTTTAAAAATTAAAAAAAATGTGAATTTTTTAAAACCCTTTTTAATGTAGGCCAGTCAGTTCTAATATAGTGTGTGATAAAAGAGGTCACTTTTGTTTACATACACATAACACTTTATAAAACTGAAATAATTCATTTATTTTTTACAATTGTTCAAAGTAATTTTTCAATTAATCTTGAGCACGCCCATGGAGTGGTTGGAGGTACCAGTTAAAATTATGCTAATTACTCTCTCGTTTATAAAAATAAACTATAAAAATCGCTGTAAGCTTTCTTATTTTAAATGGCATGTTGAAATTTGATGAGTAGTTTGGGAGTAATATTGTTAAATTATATTATTAATACCGTACCTATTTTTGTTTTGAATTTTCTACTAATTTACAATTTATTTATACATCGAAATTTTATCTAGGTTACACTGACAAAACAATGAATTTTTGACAGCAAACGTCTAACTTCTACTTATAATTTATAAAATAAAAGAAATGATAATGATAGTATTATTAATACACAATACCTCTTGTAACACATAACTATTCAGCCAGTTTATCATAATATTTTTCGTTTAATGTATGTACAATGTGTGATAGTTAATTGGAATTGGAATTAAATTTTCATAATAACGATTATCGATATTTTTAAAAATAAATGTACCTACTTTACTCTTCATAAAATTCATATTTTTTGACAAACTTCGTATACAACAAACGGCCCATGGTTGTAAATTTATTCGGGTTGTCTTTCCACCAAGATAAGATTTCCACGTTTCTGTCTTCTTATTCTTTTTTTTAGCGTTTTAATACGTAAAATAAACTGTTTTGTATAGCATTTCCTACTAAATTCATTGTAAATATGTATATTAAACTAACATAACGACATAGATAAAAGTATTGTATTTGTTGGTAAGTTTTACTTCGAAATCTTGTAGGAAATTTGTTCTGTTCGAAATTCGTCCTAATTGATTTTTAGTATCTTTTTTCTCAGAAAAGACATAAATTCGCGTTGTAGGGAGAAATATCAAGAAGTTCGTAGAACTAATAACGTCTTATGTACGCGTAGTCATAAATAACTCAACAAAATAGTCCCTTACAATTATTTTCTTGAGGAGTTCGGACAACTTCGTAAAATGTAGTTCTGTTGAAAGATGCTTGAATTTCCCTCGAGACTCAGAAGCGTAACATGGGAAATCGTGTGGGGGGAGGAAGATCATTTACCAAACATCCCTCTGTGGTCTTAGACTAAATATTAATCTTAGTTTAAGAGTATACTATGTATCGGATAAGTATATAATAATTTCTGGTAAATTACAGTCGTAGTTAACTTTTTTTATAAAACCAAATGAACTGGATATGATTATTTATAGTTAAAGTAATTGAAACTTTATAAAGAAATTCGTGGGTGCAATTTAAACTAGTCATTAGGATTTTAAGAATTAGTAAATTAATCTTTTATTACATATAAGGGCTATTTATATTTAGATTATTTCAGGAAATCCCAAACCCAGAATATACTGAAGGAAAAGTCAATTTCAACAACAGATAACTAACTCTACACTAAGGAACTGACTAATATTTACCAAGACGAAATGAAATTTTACTTCTAAAAGAGTTCAAAATGGAACAAAAAATATTAATCTAAAAAAAGCACCTGGATTCGATCTAATAATAGGAAAAATATTCAAACAGATTCTAAAGAAAGCTATTGTAATAGTAACTTAGTCTATACTAGAAATATCTTGCCAAAAAGATTAAAACCAGTAATGAACAAAATGCCATTTCATCAGTTCGGTTTTAGGGAAAATTATTCGATCTAGGATAGATCTAATATAAATAATTTAATAGAAAGAGTACTGGATTACTCCTGAGGGTAGAAAATAGGCACATCCAGTCCCTTCTATTGATTTGGATGCGTCCGTGTATATAACTGTGGCATCACTATAACAGTTCAAAACAGATCTCAGAATATTGTTGCTCAATTTGTTGTTGTCATTATATGTGGATATTATAACTTCAGCTTTATGGAAGAGAGCAAAGAAGTCTAAATTTTTTTCCACTTTGGTCAAATTGTTTGAAAAAATTGAATTGTTCTGTAAAGCAGTGCACAAAGGTGGAGATGGCTTTTTAATCCAATATTTGTGAGTGAGATCTGATTCGTTAAGTTGACGTATATTGGAAAATAATTTGGGATTTGTTGAATGGGCTTTGAGTACCCGTTTTTCGCTTAATAAATTTCTTCTTATCGAGAGAGGAGGCTCATAAGCTTCAACATGTAGTGGTTGTATAGGGGTAGATCTCATAGCACCTAAACAGGCCCTTAAGACAGAATTTTGAAAAATGTCAATTTTTCTTAGAAGATTTCTAGATGCAGAACCGTAAATAGTAGCACCATAATCTTTAATGGATCGTATATAAACTCTGTAAAACAATAAGGATGTGTCTACATCGCAACCCCACCACACTTTGGTTGTCATTCTAAGAAAATTACTACCTTTGTTGCATCTATCCAGCATATATTGTATGTGTTGTTTCCAAGTCAATTTTTTACCCAATATAAGGCCCAGGTATTTGACATGGTTTTTAAAAATAAAAGATTGATTATTTAGAAATATATTTTGATTTAGAGAAAGGTTGTGTCTTGTAAAGACAGATACTGCTGATTTGGCAGTTGATAAATTTAAGCCGTTCTCTAAATACCATGGGAAAAGAGAACTACATACTCTGCTTAGGTTTTGCATACCGTTTTCATATTTCTTAATTTCTGTATAGACACAAAACTCATCTGCATATTGTATTATTTTAAATTTGTTACACTGTTAGTGACATAAATTCGTTCATTGTCCACAAAATAAATCATAATAAGCTGTTTTTTTTTTGATAAAATATACTTTGAAGTAAAAGTGAAGTAAAAACGCTGACGTAACCTATTAATTTTTTTGTTCTCTATCTCAGGCATATATTTCTAGTTTCTATTATATATATTATTATTTTTTTCCTTTAATATCCTAACCACTCAGAACGTCAATGGCGCTACACTAACACCTCGTTCCTTCAACCCTAACCGCCTTAATTGGTTGCCAAGAGAGAAGTAAACTTTGTTTAAGGTACTTTAATGTTACGGAAATGACGTTGATATGAGTCTTTTGTAACTTATCTAAATGTTACTCCGGCTACGTCCTATTACCTCTCACTATTTTCTTTATGCGTTAACGGGATCTTTATATAAGTGCCAAAACTTTTGTTCAAGTTTTATTATTCTCCGTGAAGTTTTAGGTCTGTACGTAGTGAAAAATTTGCATGATTTCAGGAATCACGACGAAAACCTTTAGGTGAAAAGTTTCGACACTACATTCTCCACGCTATTTATCTTGTTTCAGTTTTTTGCATTTGGCTTAAATAATTTGTTATGTAAAAAATTTATAACACGTTTTAAATTTTCTAAGTGACTTTTTTTATTATTTTTTCTTCGTTTTCCTTTTGACATTATAATATGTAATGAAATAGATAAAAAAAATGTTATACAACAAACTAATAGATAAGTTATGGATAATTCAAGATTTTTACCATCGGTTAGTACTGTGAAAATTAGAGGAAACAATATTATAAAATATCTTGAATCTTGGCTTGGCACCCTTCTGCCACTACAGAATGATAAAAAAGACCAGAAGCCAGAATCATAAAAGCAAAACGATTTATTGTTAATTTTGTGTTTCAAGTAATTTTAGTATAATATCAATAACAATCATATATTTTTTCTAGGACGGCGAGCGTGGTTACCTTGAAGGCCTAGCGTCACGATACGCAGACTTATTTAGCACCCATTACGTAGACGTATTAGGTCATCTCGAAGATCTGAGGAGGATAGAATGGACGGAAACGTCTCCAAAGGAGCGGAAGGTGACGACTCCTGTTACTCCACCTGGTACGTACAGTCCGACGGGGAGGGGGACGCCGGTATCGGGGGTGCTTACTACTTCTATGTCACAGCCCATTTACGTACCTGGAAAATATTCGGTAAGTATTACATCAATTTTTCATACTACGAGGGTGGATTGATATAAAACTAGCCTTTAATAGAAAAAACAAATTTTTTGTGACTAAATCCATTTATTTCTCAACATAGTACTTTTGCTCGAGATCTTCAAATTGGGCCGAAGTTTCAGTGACGACTTCATCATTTGTTGCGAAACGACGTCGTCCGAACCATTTTTTTAAGTTTTGAAACAGGAAAAAATCGTTGGCGGCAAGATCTGGGGAATACGGTGGGTGTTCAATCAATATATAGCCCAATTCGTGTAATTTTGCCATGGCGACGGCCGATCGGTGAGCCGGTGCATTGTCTTGGTGAAAGAGCACTTTTTTGCGTTCCAAACCGGGCGTTTTCGATGCAATTCGGCGTCGAATCGATCCAATAATGCAACGTAGTACTCAACATTGATAGTTTTTTTTTTTTTCAAGTAGTCGATGTGGATGATGCCCTTCGCATCCCAGAAAACAGTCGCCGTCACTTTGCCGGCTGAATGTGCACTCTTTGCCTTCTTCAGCGGCCCTTCGCGGCGTTTGTGCCACTGTTTCGACTGTTCTTTGGTTTCCGGTGTGTAATAATGGACCCAAGTTTCATCAATGGTAATAAATCGGCAAAAAAATCCGTCGTATTGCGCTGTATTATCGCTAAAGTGGTCACACGTTTTTGCATTTGATGGTTTTTTTCATGTTCAAATGATGGTGAATGATGTGTATGCATTCGTAGGAAATGTTTAGGATCTCGATTAACTCTTCTTCTTCTTCTTCTTATTTTATATAGACATGACTATCTTTGTTTTTCAGTGTGCCAATGTGTTCCAGTAAGTTGTCATTCCATCGTTTTCGTGGTCTTCATACTATCATCTTCCTCTTGGGGGGCCGTCTCTTGCCGTCTTTACTACCCTATTTGTTGTCATTCGGCTTATATGATCGTTCCATTCAACTCTTCTATTTTTTACCCAGTTTTTGATGTTCTCCACCTTGCATTTATGTCGTATATCTGTACGTAGCTCTGTCACATAGTGTCTTACATAGTGTCTGTTTTGTAAATTCTGCCTTTTGTTTCTTTCCCGATATTTTTATTTCTTCATATTGTTTTATTCAGGTAACCTTTTTTTTTTTTAACCTGCTTTAAATCACCCCCGGTTTTTGGCTGTCCTCCACCCCAGCGTGACACCTAGGACTAGTTTGAGCAAGAATGGGGGCAAGCATCATCCTGTCCCAAACCTAGCCATAGGCCGTGTCCCATGGACTAAACACTGCAGGGACTTCACAGGCCACCTGGAACTGTCTGTGAAGGTACACGTCTGGTGACCTGCGCCGTCAACTCTCTCTCATTCAATATAACCCTCCAGTCGCCCCCTCCATCTAATCCTTCCTCTCAATCCTTGCCAACCAACGACGACTATATGACCAACACCCGCTCCTCTCTCTCCTTAGCGGCGAGAACCTCGCGAACAAAACTCTCTCCCGTTCTCCACCCAGTATCACTCATTATCATTTCCTCTACCATTTTATTCACACTCATTATTGTTCTGCCAAAACCCGCATTCATCCTCATTCTTTCCGCTACCCATCTAGGACAATGGAACAGAGTATGCGTCACAGTGTCCACCTCGCGGCAATATAAACACCGGTCGTCAGTCGCTTTCCCGAACCTCTTTAGGTAGGTCCGGAAACATCCATGGCCTGTGAGCACCTGCGTAAGGAAGTATCCCCCACGCCGATGCCCACATTCCACCCACCGTCGGATATTCGGGATCAGCGACTTCGTCCACTGTGCCACATCCTCCACTCCTTCCCACTCTCGCTGCCACTTCTCGATAGTAGTGGCCCTTTCCTCACTTCTTGTTCTACCATCCACATTTCCACGCACATACATCCTATAGCTCTCTCCCGCTAGCAAATGTGTGGGTACCACAGCAGTAATAACGTAGAGAGCAGCAGTAGGTGCGGTGCGGTATGCGCATGCCGTACGGATCAAGCAAACTCGATCCGTTCGCATCAGAAGATTTCTGTATACGGAAACCTCTGCTGCTTTATACCACACCGGTGCTGCGTAGAGGACGATTGACTGAACAACCCCGGTTAGGACCCTTCTTCTTTCGGAGCTAGGTCCGCCGATGTTGGGCATAATCTTCCTCAACGCAGCCGCTCTCTCCGCTGCCCTCCTTGTCACACTCCTGAGGTGCTCACCAAAGCCCCCATTCTCATGCAGGGTTATACCCAGATACTTCACGCACCTGCTGGGTACAATCCTCACTCCCTCATATTCAAACCATACACCCTCTCTTTATTTAGGTAACCTGCGGCTCTGTTTACTCTATTCACTTTGATTGATTGATATTTAATTGATAATGCCTAGATATTTAAAGTCCATCACTTGTTCTATTATCTGAAAAACTTTACTTGCTTTTGACGGCTGTTAAAACCAAACTAATTGTTTCTAAAACTTAAAATTTTGACAGAATGGCAAATGTCAACACCGAAAGCAATTCGGTATCAAGTAGCGCCATCTATCAAAGGCTAGCTTAATATTAATCTATCCTCGTATTTACTATTTTTATTGGGTAGTAAATATAATTTTAGTTTAAAAACGTTTATTTTGACGTCTCGGTTTTTACAGAAGTCGGAAATCGGTCTTAAAACAGAAATTAAACAAATTTTGTTTTGTCACTTGATAATACAGAAAGTTTCTTCTAATAATTTTATTTTATTTTATTCATTCATATTGACAATTTAGGCATATATTATACATTTTAAAATAGATCACTTTAAAAAACTATTGTCAATATTTTTAAGGTTCGCTCTTGAAACGACTTTGTCTGAAGATAAAAAAGTTCTCTCGTTAGTGATTTTATTGTAAATCATGAAGAAAAGCAAAAAAAAAACTCGTGATGACTTTTGTAAAAGTTTTAAATGTATTCGATAGAAGAAATATACTACTTGTACAGTAAACTAATGGTGCTGTATCTTAATTTTAATGTTAATACTTCAGAAATAAATTAAATACTGCAGAGTTTGTGACGTTACTTAAAACAAAAGACCACTTGAGAAATTATTTAGACAAATATTGTCTCATTGTATATGAATTGGAGAGACTACCGATAAATTCTGTTCACAAACTATGCTGAGCATTTTTCTGAAGACCTCACGAGTTAATTTACCGTTAGCGACTACTGAAACACTTCATTACTTTTCTCCAAAAGATTTTTGCAAAGACGAGTAACTCGGTAATATAATGGCCCATAAGATACGAAACGCGATAGAGAAGCAGTTGAGCATTACTCTCTGCTCTGCACTTTACTGTATCTGTAAAATAATTTACTTTGTAACATTAATGAAGAGAAGGAATTCATCTAATGAGTTTTGCTCGACGATAAATTACGTTTAAGATGGAGGTCAGTGATAAAACGCTTACGGTGTCATAAACAAGGGTCAGTGAGGTTGTCAATAAGATTTCTCGTTTAGGAAAGTTACGTTTTTATTGCAGATGAATTGTGTTTCGAAGCGAGATGGTATACAGAGGGTGTCAACTGCAGAAGTCATTTTGAAATTAAGATTTAGAAAATTGATATATACTTTCAAGCATACCTATTGTGTATTTTATTTTAGAGGTAGAGAACTTTAAAATGAAAACAAAGATAATTGTTTTAAAATTGACATGAAATTTACTTTATTAAAAAACATCTTTTAGCATTATAAATATGTTTTTAAATATGATATTTGGCATATAACCACCACGGCTGACTATAGGCAATAACGCGCCGAATCGTGTCCTCCAAGTGGTTAATCGTTTTAGCCTTATCGGCACATCGACATCTCCCTACAGAAAATAATCTAGCGGTGTTAAATCGCACAATCTTGAAGGCCAATTCACGGGTTCGAACCGTGAAACTCTCGCGCTTACCAAACGTTTCCTTCAAGAAATCAATTGTAACACAAATTTATAACATGTTTCAGTCTCTTGTTGAAACCACACCTCTTATACATCATGGTTGTTTAATTGAAGAATTATAATGTTGAATGGGTTGGTGGTTAGATAAGGTGCCTTTTGCATTTTCTTCTTCTTCACTGGCCCTACAACTCAGGGTGAGTCGCCGCTGCATTCACTATCGCCCTCTATCCTCTACGATCTTGCGCTTCTATTTCCTATTATTGTAACCAAATTCTAGATAAATCGGCTTCAACATCATCCTTTCATTTTTTTCTCGGTCGGCCTACTGATCTTCTACCATCTGGTTTTTTAAAAAACACTGTCTTTAACACTCTGCCTTGATATGTCTAACTATGTTTTCAGTTCCATACAGAGTCACCAATTCAGTATTGCGGCGTCTTCTCCAACCCCCTGTGAATTCATCTCTTTGAAGGCCAAATATTATTCTATGAACCTTTTTCTTTCAAATACTAGAAGCTTACTGATTTTCCGGTGGTTTAGAATCACTGTTTCATTGCCATATGTAATAATTGGGCGAATAATCGACTTGTACAGTGTTAATTTAGATTTTCTTTTTAGCAGCTTCGATTTTAATAATGTTGAAAGGGAGTATAATGCTCTATTTCCCGCAGCTATCCTTGCTGAGACCTCTTTTTCTATGTGGTTGTCAGCTGTGATTATCTCCCCCAGGTATTTAAACTTCTTCACTATTTCGAAATTGTGATCATTATAGTAATGATGTTCTGCCTTAACTCTTGGTTTCGTATTTTTGGTTACTTACATGTATTTTGTCTTTTCTTCATTTATTCGAAGACTCAGACTACCTGTATCCTTCTCGAGCTGTGAAAACTCTATCACGTGTCTTCTAGAATGCGTGACTGCATCTATATCAGCAAAGGACAGCAACAGTTTTGATCCTTGATCAGCAAATCTTCCTGTAAGCTCAGACGATATTTTATATATTGCATATTCTAAACCAAAATTAAACAAAATCCACAAGGAAAAACAATTCCTGTAGCTGGCTGTATACCACGTATCACAAAAAAGAGGTTAGTCTTCGTACGTGGGTATATTTATTTAAAAACCCTTAAAAGGGCTACATAAAAAAAACAAACGTTTTCGGACTAAACAGTCCATCATCAGGTTTAAAATCGCTAGGTTAAAATGCCTGAGCCACCAAAAATACATGGGTAAAAACCCTTTAAATTACATATAGTTATAAAAGATTATACATCTTGTTGTTAAAAAACTGTGATGTTCATTTTTTTTTTCAAAATTAAACAGCAACGGTGACAAGGGGTCCCACTGCCTAAGTCCTGAATATATACCAAATGGCATCGATGTTCTATTTCCTATCTTTACTTGCGCATATGGAATCATATGCTTGCTGGAAAACTATGAAAATTTGATGCACATCGCGGTTAAATTCCCAGTTTTTCTCTAATATTTTTTGGATCTTAGTTAATTGATTCCATAATAAAAGGTATTAGTATTCACTATATTGTTTTATTAATCTTTATTTAGTAACAAATGTTAATTAAACTCTTTTGCCTTGATGAATGACTTGTGGAATGCAAATTGTAGATTCCCTTGTCGACTAATTCATCAATGTCTGCTTTGCAATTTGTAGAAAGGGCAGTGGTAAAAATTTGAAGTAGGAAATGCTATGTAGGATTTTGAATGTGATTTATATTATATTTTAAGACTGTTTTTCGTTTTAATATTTAAGGGTTAAAACCCTTACAACAGAATAAAAAAGTCAGTAAGCATGGCTCTATAGCGGTCACCGGTGACTGTAACGTTCTGTCCAACATCGTTTTGAGAAGTAGGGACAAATAGTTCCACCTGCCCATAAATCACACCAGTTTTCTAGATGTAATGGTTTCTCAACATACACTTCAGGATTGTCTTCACTCCAACTATGGCAGTTTTGTTTGTTCACATAGTCATTCAAGCAAACGTGAGCTTCATCGCTAAACAAAATTCTCTTGTGAAAATCGGGATCAACTGATCATTCATTCAGAAACTACCTTTGTTAGGTGATCGTGGTTCTTTAATTCTCTAACAAGTTGGATTTTAGTAAGCACATACACCAAGATTTTTCCGCAAAACCTTCCATAAAGTAGTTGGACACATACCATCTTCTCTGTACGATGCAGATAGACTGATCGAGTCTTCGCTATAAGTGCTCACAGCAGTAATAACTGTCTGCAGCATAACACTGTTCGACGTCTCTGTGGATGCGTTTGAGAACGAATCATCCAAATATTATTCAGAATGTATTCTTAAGGTATCTGTTATCAATTCTGACTTACAAATGACATATTAACACATTAATAAAAAACACGATTGAGTCATGACGATCTTGCTCTAGGCTTTCGCTTCATTAACGTATGATTGCTCCTTTTTTTAACAAACGGAGTGCAGAAATAGTGTTGGAGTAGATAGTAGACTTTTGTTGGTTAAGAGTGGTTTAAATTGCTAGAAAATAGAGGAAGAAAATGTAGGAAGATAGTGGTTTGTCATCTTAGCACTGGTTTTGGGAAAGGCTCTTGGAGAATCTGGATCATCTATCGATAATTGTCTTTCTGACGAAATACTAAATATTTGTCAGTTGGGGGATGTATGTCAGCAGGTAGTCACTGCGTTTGTTGCTGATTTTCCTCAGGATTTTTTTTTTCGTTAGTCATTAGAATTTTATTTGGCGTTTGTTAAGAATTGCGTAGAGGCAAGCTCTGTACTCGATAATTGGTCTAAGGTAAATGTGCAATAGACTACGCAAGTTATCGCTCTTCACTTTATCTTTTAGGGCTGTTAAAATAGTAAAAGGGCACTTTTCTCCTTGTCAAGGACGTTTCTAATGTTAATGTTGCAGTTGAGCGTTGTTGTAAATTCAAAGTCATAATACGGACACCGACGAACCTAATTCAAGCTTCTTTTCTCCTTTGACCAGTATTTGTCTCTATCTAAATAGAACTAACACAGCGTTTTGACAGAGTTGAATGTAACTTTTAGAACTGAGCCCTGTGGGACTCTTGCTTTCGAATAGACGGGTATTATTAGATCGGAGAGATTGGAATTAATAACTTTTAGAAACTCAGTTGGAAACTTGGTGTAATTTTTCAATCAGTTCTGACTGCCAGACCTGGTCGAATACGTTCTAGACGTCAAGAAAAATGTTAACTGTGCGTCTATATCGTTCGGAAAAATACCCAAAAATAGTCAAAAAATTACTGCATTATATTTGCGTATAATGATTGCTATCAACGAGTATAAATCAAAACACTATACCCGAAATAGAAATAGAGAAGTTACAATAATATTAGACCATATTTATCAATTTCTTAAAAAACATTCTCTTATTTTGGTTTCTCTATCTCCATTTAATGTCTTTTAGCATGTCGTTTTTTCATTCAGATTTGACGAAATTAACAATCAGTTTAAAATATTTCATAAAAATGTAATAAATTCAAAAAAATATTTTAAGTTGGTAATAAATTTCAGATCATTACAGCTAAGTAAATAAAAGTAGCTTGAAATTTACTGAGAGTGAAAATTTTTCATTTAATTAAATTAATGTTTGTTTTAAAAACTTCCAATACTTTTCAAAAGTTTTTTACTGCAAAAATGAGTTCAACACTTTGACAGGAGACTAACTACAAATTGTATTAGTTTAAGTTGTTTACATTTCCAAATGTTATTAATAACGCTTGAAAGTTTAGTTAAAAAGTATTTTTTAGGATTATTTGTTATAAACGACTGTTGGCATGAATCATCAAAAGTTTATCTTTCATAGAATAATTTATTATAGCCTTTTGGTAAGTCTTTAGAAGCGAGTGAGTTCTTTTACAAATTTACTAATGTATTGTTTAGAAAAACTTAGTTCTAACAGCCATCTTTTCTTACAGCCCTCTAGTTGTTTGAGCGACAAAGAAGAAGATGAAATATACGGTTTCGGTTACGGGGTATTTGCCTCTCAAATAGCTAGGCAACAGCAACAACGATTAGTCGGCCAGCAACAGAATCAACAGACCGCAACCAGCCATCAACCCCTCCTAGTTCAGCAGCACCACAACTATCAAACGTAAGTGTATACATTATTCGCATTTACTTTCTTTTTTCGCATTTTATTAATTATTAAATTTATTTATGTTTTAGACTATTTAGTTTTAGTTTAAAATTATTTAAAATTATTAGATGAAATGATACTCCTTGAAAAATGTGGACAGCTTTAGGAGAGACAGAAACAAATTGGCTAACAGCTTTATTAAATAGAATTATGGTAGTGGGGCAAATGACAGACGCACGGAGAAGCAGAATATTTATACTTGTTTACAAAAATAAGAGATATATACAACGCTGCATAAGTTATAGGGCCATAAAAGTACTTAGTCATACCATGAAAATATCTAAATAGCCTTCTTCGGTCCATCTTTGGACATAGGCCTCCCCAATCCTTTTCCATTCTTCTCTGTCTGTCGCAACAGTCATCCATCTAGAGCCCACGTGCTTCTTGATATCATCTGCCCATCTCATTTGGGGCCTTCCTCTGCTTCGTTTATATTCCCACGGTCTCCAACTTATAAGAATTTTGTTCCATCAGTCTTCTTTTTCTCTTATATTGTGTCCGGCAAATCTCCATTTCAATTTTGCAACTTCTTGTCTAACATCCCTCACTTTTGTTTTCTCTCTTATCCAGTCGTTTCTCTTCTTATCCATTATTCTTATGTGCAACATTTGTCTTTCCATTGCTCTTTGGGTTTTTATGATTTTGTCCATGTTTGCTTTTGTAAATGTCCACGTTTGGGAGCCATACGTAAGAACAGGGAGTACGCATTGATTATATACTTTGGTCTTAAGATGCTGTGGATATCTTTTGTTTTTAAGAATGTAGCTTGGTTTGCCAAATGCCGCCCATGCCAGTCTAACTCGTCTCCTGATCTCTGCTGTTTGGTTCTCTTTGTTAAGTTTTATAGTTTGACCAAGATATATATATATATCCTTAACTTGTTCTATTTCATCTTGTCCGATTCTCATTGTGATGTCTTCATCTGTATTTGTTATAGTTTTGGTCTTGCTGTAATTCATATTAAGGCCTATCTTTCCAGCTTCTACGTCCAGTTCTTTCATTCATTTCAAATAATTCATCTTTTTTATTGTTATCAATACGATGTCATCAGCGTATCTTAGATGTTTCAAGCGTTGTCCACAAATTTTTATACCTTTTTTTCCCATTCTAATCTTTTAAAAGTATCTTCAAGAGCCTGATTGAAAAGTTTCGGTGATATTGTATCACCCTGTCTCACGCCTCTACTTATTTGTAATGATTTTGTTCCTTCATATACTTTAATTTTTGTTTTGGCTTCCTTATATATATTGGTTATTAGTTCCGTATATCTGTGGTCAATTCGGCTGTTAATCAAAGAACTTTTCACTGCCCAATGTTCGATACTGTCGAAAGCCTTTTCGAAATCTATGAACGCCATATATAGAGGAATGTGGTATTCATTTGCTCGTTCTATAAGTATTTTCATACTTAGTAAATGGTCGCTTGTGCTGAATCCCTTTCTAAAACCAGCTTGTTCTTTCGACTGGTATCCATCGAATTTGGTCGTCAATCTATAGGTTAAAATTTTTGTTAGGAGTTTATACATTACATTGAGGAGTGTTATAGGACGGTAGTTTTTTATATCTGCTTTATCCCCTTTCTTGTGTAGGATAATGGTTACTGATTCCTTCCAGTTGTTTGGGATTTTGGGATGAAAATATGGGAGAGAATAATTGATAAACAGATACATAAAGAAACCGAACTATTAGGTAATCAGTTTAGTTTTATGCAAGGCAAATTAATAACTTTTCTTAGTAAGTACAAAAACACTGAAAATAGCAGAGACATTAGCTTTTGTTGAAAAAACGTCACTAATATTGATATTACCAGTTTAGAATCGCAGTTGCTAGATTGAGCTGTGAAGCTAAAAGTTCGAATGACTTTGTATTAATTCAGATATATTGGAGAAAAGTAAATGTATATTAAGTTTGCAGCACAAGTGGTCTGCTTTGAAAGAGCTGAAGAGGAAAGACGTGTTAATTTTAAACACCTGGAATTGCATTCCTGACTTATACGATCTACTAAAGAAGCTAGCGTCTATTGTACTCCTTAATTGGGTTTGCAAATTTATGCAAACAATTTTTTTCAAGCTAAAACTTTATCAAGAGAAAATAATTAAGAAATCGACTTATCTTGAGAACTTTGATATTTATATTGATATTGATACATCAATTTTGTTTTAGTTGTGGAGTTAATTAAACTTCAGTTTATACGTAATATTACTGTTCATATCATTAATACACATCATTAATACATATCATATACTTTGTATATTTTTTATTGGGTAAATGGATCTTACTTTTCTAATGATGTTGTTATGGACTGATCTTCCGCATTGGCCGGGAGCGAATCTCAAAATTTTGATTATTAAAGTTACAAAGCTGATCGCATTACATGTATAATAGTGATATTCTCTAATAATTAGAATTAATCGAAATTGTGTCCGTTTTATAGAGAGGACCGCCCAATGCGATTATCATTATGTGTAACAGCGTGATGGAAATCGCTAGAATCCATATATAATTAATAGGCAGGATACTATTACAATAACTAGGTTACCAGAATCCAATTGCAAAGCTTTGGGACGGAATAGACGCCTAATTTAGATTACTGGTATATATATGTTATAGCCGAGATGTAATATATGCGATAAAGATGCTCTCAACGAATTTGCCACAGTTGGTAATGAATTGTAGTACAGTTTACGGAGAGTGATTGGATATAAACTCAAGCGTTTCTAAGTAACACAACTTAAGTTTAACTGCAAAACACATTTTGTAATTTAAATAAGAAAAAAATTTATACAAAAACTGCAATGTTTTAATAAATTCTCTAAATAGATGAAAACATATTTTGTCAGCTTATCTTTAATCAATGTAGAAAAGTATAGAATACCCAGTCAGTTCAAAGCAGTTTAAAATAATATCAATCTAACAACTAAATTAAGAACTTTATCCGCAAGAAGAATTTCCCTAGATTCATACGTCCTTTTGAAGGTGTGCTGAATAAGAAGATAAGAATTCTGGCTAGAAATAAATAACAAATTTCCACAATATTGGTTTGGTTTCCGCAGAAAAACAACACAAAAATTTGTATTACTAAAGAAAATTTCAATAAATAAAATGTGCTTCAGTCACTTCCAACATATTATCTTAGTAAAGTGTTTCTGGTCAACATATCAGCAGAAATATTTAAATTTAAACGTTTGGAACACTCTTCCATACCCTACTGACATAGGTACTGCAATAACGCATTCTCGCTGAAAAATGGAGTACAATAATTATATGCCACATACAAGAAAGGAAACGAGCTTAACTGTTTTAGCTTTAGAGGTACTTCTCTTTTTAATACGAAATATATGGGGTTATCTCGGTGAGTACATTTCGCTGAGAATTTACGCTAAGATCAGATTAAGTCTAAATCTTAGGGGCGTGAGACAGGGGTGCATAATATTCGGAGTATATTTTCGAAAAGGATGTAAAAGATATTGATCAATATTGATCTCAATAAATAGAGTAAAGCTCAATAACCTGCGGTATGCAGATGATACAATAGTGTTTTCCAATATCATAGAAGGTATAGCAAAAGCCAAGCTAATGATCATCAGCAAGAAAATCAATGGCTGCAATTAACCTTTGTAGCAATTCCCAAAAAACCAAGTTCAACAACTTGCTCAGACCACAGAACAATAGCTTTAATGAGTCACACACCTAAAACGTTTTTGAAAATAATTCACAGCAGAATTGTTAAAACTCTTGAATATGAGATTAGTGACACACAATTTTTCTTTAGAAATGGTATAAGTACAAGAGATGCTTTGTTCGGCTTGAATGTGCTGGCTCAGAGATGCATGGACATGAATCAAGATATGTACTTATGTTTTGTAGACTTTGAAAAGGCACTTGATAAAGTTTAACATAAAAAGCTTGTAGATATATTAAAAAGCAAAAATATTGACAGTCGTGATCTGAAAATTATATCTAATTTATATTGGAATCAAACTGCCAAGGTAAGAGTTGACAGCCAGTACACCGAAAATATCAAAATACAGAGAGGAGTCCGCCAGGGTTGCGTGCTGTCCCCACTACTTTTCAATGTCTACAGTGAAGCGGTATTTCAAGAAGCGCTCTCAGACTCAATAGAAGGTATATCTATCAATGGAGAAGTTTTGAATAACTTACGTTTTGAAGACGATACAGTAATAATTATGGATAACAACAATGATTTACAGAACGTAATACAACGCCATAATGAACGCTGTCATGAGTACGGACTGAAGATAAATTTAAAGAAAACTAAATGCATAATCATGACTAAATCTGCACATGCAAATATCCAATTGACTATTGAAAATACTGCAATTGAGAGTGTTAATAACTATAAATACTTGGGAACATGGATAACATGAGATGTAGACCAAACCAAAGAAATTAAGACACATATTGAAATAGCACGTACATCATTTATTAAACTTAAAAAGTTTCTTTGTTGTCGGGATATAAGGTTAGAACTACGCCTGAGAATGCTTCGGTGTTACGTGTTTTCAACTCTTCTTTATGGTTTTGAAGCTTGGACACTAAAACAAGATCATCTGAATAAGTTGGCCGCCTCTGAATTTTGGTGTTACAGAAGAATCCTACGAATATCATGGATTCAAAGAATGTTAAACATTGAAGTAACTAGAAGGATAGAAAATGAGGCGGAAATAATATTAAGTATTAAAAGACGAAAACTTGAGTACTTGGGACATGTGATGAGAGGGCAAAAATACGCATTATTACAACTTATTATGCAGGGCAAAATCCGAGGAAAGCGAAATGTGGGAAGACGAAGAATATCCTGGCTTAAGAACTTAAGGGAATGGTTTGAATGCAGTAGTGCAGAACTTTTTAGAGCAGCAGTCAACAGAGTCCACATAGCCATGATAATTTCCAACCTTCGATAAAAGATGGAACTTAAAGAAGAAGATACAATATAATACAAGAAATCACGGGAGATATTGGCTACTCCAATGCATTTTGCAAGGTAAAATTAAAGGAAAAAGGGCCCAAGATAAAGAAAAATATCCTGGCTTGTTTACCTAAGAGCATGGT